GCAAGCCTATCTTATATTAATAATCTGATGAAGTGGACTTTAGAGAAATTAAAAAAAAAAACACGACGCTCCATATTTGCCAATCTACTGAGATATCTGTAAATGGAGCTGCACAAGGTGGCGCCATAGCTCAAGCGGTTAGTCCCTGGCTTCCCACCGCGGCGGCCAGGGTTCGATCCCGGGTCTCGTCAAGTGGGATTTTTGGTGGACAAAGTGGCGCTGGGGCGGGTTTTCTACGAGTACATCGGTTTCCCCTGCCAGTCTTTATTCCACAAAATTCTCCATCATCATAGTCACCCGGGGAAGGCTACAGTAGGCCAATCAGTGGCCGCCGTGCCGAGTGGGCCCAGTTGGACTACACCTCCCCCCCCCCTAAGCAAATTAAAAAAGTGGAGCTGCACAAAGTAAATCCATTCCTTATGATACTCGTCAAGGACCCAGGAAGCAGGCAGAGGTGTTGGAGAAGAGCTCTTTTGCTAGACTATTTAACTTGTTTAATAGCCGATTAAACGAAATATGGCTGCTCTAACTACACGTACATAACAATTCAATCATACAACTAAATCGTGCGTAAATTTCGCAAAGTGTAAGTAACAATAAATTATTTTGTTCCGAAAATTTACGTTTGTAGAAACATAAAAATAATTCTTATCCCAAATAATACGTGAAAGTATAGCTACAAGTAATTCAATATCTTTATTCACTACACACATTCGCGGTATCTCTTTAAAATAGAATTATTCTCTTTAATTTAAAGATATAATTTAAATTTTAAATGTACTTACTCTTCACTTCACAAGAAGAAATTTCTAAATTCTGAAAACTTGTATTGAACAGCATTTACCTTCATTTCTCTTTAACAAAATTTTATAATTGAGGAATATAAATTGCTGTTGACCTCAGCAGGAAGAGAAGCAAAAGACCGCCATTAGTCACTTCCTCTACACTGCCGATTCACGTGTCTTGCTGTAAGGCTGTTCACACTACCAAAGTTTCCCCTGCGTATTTCATTAAATAAACATTTCGAGCAGAAGATGTAGATCATAATCAATTCCGTATTTACATCATATAGAAATATTTTGCACAAAAATTCCTTTCTGAGAAACTCGATGATGTTCGTTTTGAGATTCTTCTATAGTTTATATTTAACCAATATAAACCAGATTTTATATTTCAGCTTCCCTTTGCATTTAGGTATTATTCTTATTATTAAAGCACCCGTCAGTAATGTAATAATATTTTTTCTTGCTCCTTTTTTCGAGTAGACTCGAAGCAGTATGATTCCTATTTATGTATTTCCATATTTGCTTTTTTAATTACATTGTTGCACTGTTTTAGTGTTAATTTTATTTCTTTTTGGTAATGTTGTGTTGGATTATTTTAATTGTTATGAACTGATTATCTTGTAAAAATGTTTCCATTTTTTGTTTGTATTCATCTTTTGTGAGTATTATTAATGTTTTTCCTTTGTCTGCCTTCGTTATTATGAGTTCGTTTGTTCTCATTTTCTGCTTTATATGATTTATGATTTTCCATTCACTTTTGTTTCTTGTTTTCCTCATTTGTTGTGCTATTACGTTGGCCAATATTTTTTTTAGGTTTCTTGCGACTGCATGTCTATCGCGTTTAACTGATTTATTGCTATTTCTACTTCTAGAGCTAGGGTTTCAATCCATTTTTTTGTATTTATGATGTAAATTATATTTTAAACCTTTGTTTAATAGCTCCATTTCTTCATTGGTAAATTGTACGTTTGTAGGATTTACTATATGATTATAATTTATATTAGTGTGGGAGCTGTTTTTATTTATTATTATTATTATTATTATTGGAGGGGGTGGGTTTCCCCATGCACCGCGACTAACAGTCTATTGTACGCCCCCCTTTGATATTCTACCAGTCACCATACCCTGCCGGTACTGGTACTCACTATCAGCCCCGTTCAACCTCTAGGCTGGCAACGGTAAACAATACTTCCCCATCTACCGGAGGCACTGGAAACTACTTGGGCGGAAACTTTGCCTAATTTTGCTCAGAGGTCTCCTAGAGACATGAGGATCTTTTACGTGCCGTAAATCTACGATACGGGACCCACGGCTTAAAGTCCCTCCCGGAGGACTTGTTCCCTGAAATTTTCCGCCCTTAAAAATTCTAGGTTATGTATCTTGTGTTGTTTTTGGGTGTATTTTTATCATTTCTTTTTGCATTATTGACAGGTGTTTGATAATAAGGATATTGTAAACCAAAATTTAATTGGTTCTGAAATGTTTCGCACAGACCTGCAATACTAAATATCGTCTTAAATCGACTTATAAATGAAATAATATTTATTGTGTTGTTCTGTTACAAATATTCTTCCGCCTCGCTCACCGTAACCCGTGGTTATTACGAATCTGAAATACTCACAGAAAGTACAGTACATACAGACTTAAGTCAACAGGTTACATCCAGCTACAACTGTATATTATCTACATATTTATTTTACAAAAATAAAATATGCATTTTACTGAAATGTCTTTCCCAAGTTTCTGTAAATTTGTGGAAGTAATCTCCCAGTCTTCAGACAAATTAAAAAAAATGAAATATGCGAAAAGATATACAAGAGCTCTAGATTGGGACATTCTGTATAATGAAGAAAGCAGTCTTCTGGGATTTGGCACCGTGTATATGTTGTGTTAACCGACGTTTCGGAGGAACGTATCGCCTCCATCTTCAGGGTAGAAGAAAAAGTATAAGAAATCTGCAAGCGAAGAGACGTGAGAACCGGTAAACTTCGGTTAACACCACATATACACGGTGCCAAATCCCAGAAGATTGCTTTCTTCATAGTCACCGCCGTGAAAGCCTCAAATCTTACATACTGTATAATACTCATAAGAAAAGTAAACTAAAAATCTAGTTCCCTTGGAAACCATTTCCATCTCCCTGCAGTAAGCATGGGATGCCTCGCATCACCAAATCCATCTCACATCCCAGCACGGTACAATTAATACGAACCCGAATATTATGTACTCCTAGTCTGCTGATGATTAGTTGTTCCATGATTTTGACGTATGTCAGAATGTATTTATGTGAATATTTTTCCTGCCTTTTGATGGAATTGTGCCAACAAGTTGCAACGAAAGCAAAATAAATTACATTTCTGTTACATCATCTGCAGTTTGGGATAGGAATGATGGATGATTGGCTGGCACGCATACCCACCTCGTTTGATTAGGTTCTGGATCACCTGACACTTGTTCAGACTCCCTTGTGCTTTATACTGTTGTTACAAACTGCTCATTAAATATCCAAGTTAAGTGGGTCCCTTGTCACCACAGCATAACACGTCCTCCGGTTGCAAATGTTAGAGACGTCCTTTAGGTATGAAGGACGGCTGGTAACATATTGAACTAGTAGAAGTACCCGTTGTTTGCCCTGAATATGATTCCTTTATTTGTGAGTATCATAATACATAGCAACAAAAACTTTATAGAAGAAGTAACACTCAGATACTGCATTCAGTGTTCATTTCAATATGGTTTAAATTCCGTAAAACATGGCAGAGCGGAATTTCATTCATGGGAAAATGCTTCTCATCGGTAGTATAAGAATCAGGAGAAATGAATATTTATTCATGTAAATAGAACATGATTTAGAATGAGGTTTCCAATGGTATCCAGAAAATATTTCTACATCGCTTTTAACACCATACAGTTTGGCAAGTTTACGGAGTAAATTTCGAGTTATCTTCGATATTCCCTAAGGAACCTGCGTAGCGTGGTCGGTATAGCGACTGGCTATGGGCTGCACAACCGAGGAGTCGGAGTTCGAGTCCCAGCGTGGCCAAAAATGTTCTCTTCTCCACGTCGTCCACAGCAGCTCTGGGGTCCACCCAACCGAGAGCTCTTTACCCGGGAATTAAGCGGCCGGGGAGTGAAGCTAACCACTCACCTCCAGCAGGTGCCGAGGTCAAGAAAACGTGGATCTGTACGTTTTATACAGTTTAGAATCTAAGATCATTTCTGCCAGCAGCGCTTGTTTCATCACCTGTGTCAAAAATCTTCGTGATTTCCTGCATGTGGACTTACTTTCTTTCGGCTGCTAGAACCGTTTTACCTTCGGAAACTTCAAATGTGATAAAGCTATTCGGTTTCTCGGTATGTTGGCTCTGAGAGACCCATAAAATTTTAAATTGTCGTGATGTTACTTTTTACATTTCTGTCTAATGTTTTACAGAATTAAAATGAAGCGTCATTCATCATTTTGAACAATATATTCGCAGAGTTTCTGTTTCAATGGACTAGAATATCTGGATGTTATCACACAGTAAAGAGAGAAAAAGAAAGCGCAAGTGGAAAAATGTGTAAGGTCATTTGGGAGTTTTCGAGCATGAACACAATTGTTAATAAACGATATTTCAATTCAATGTTGTTAGCGATGATAAAGTCTGAGTGTGTTAAAGTTATATATTGTACAGAGTCTTAAAACTATATAGCCGAGTGTTCGCATGGCTCCAGAGAAAAAGATTGAATTGTCTGATAAAAATCCTACACCTCACGATATATGGACTGAATCGTATTTCTGTGTTTACATTAAAGCTTCTTTTGTTTGCATCGTTGATAATGAAAAATAAACTTTGTTCTAAGAGAACTGAATAAGGTAAGTTAGGGTGAACTAGATCTGTGGGCGAATAGGACTGTTTTTAAGAGAACCTCCCTCTCAGTTTTAGTAGTAGTGGTGCTGTGATCGCTACAGCCCTTTCCAGTGTTCCTTTTGACCACAGATAGTGTGTTTGAAGGAAAGATATTCCCTGCATAGAAGAGGGTGTTTGAGTGATACATTTTTGCTCTGAAGCTGGTGTTTTAATATAAGCTTTAAAATATTTAGTTTTAAATATTTTTATGTGATAACATTGCAGTTTAGGCAGACATATTGTTCTGAATTACAATTTCATATTGTCCTTAGTGAGGTTAAAGAACACTGCACTGTTCAGACGATCTGTATTTATGTGTTTTCAGAGGCGAAAGCCAGAATCATGGGACCAGCTGACCTCTACGTGAAGACCGGGAGTTCTGTGACTCTGACTTGCGTGATAAGCCAGGGACCTCACGACCTAGGGACAGTGTTCTGGTATCGCGGCGCAGCCATCATCCACCAGCCCTTGGCTCTCACGGAACAGACGGCCTCCTCTCAGCCACAGCCACGAGTTCGTATTGATACAGAGTGGACAGACCAACTGACGTCACGACTTCACATCTCCAAAGCACGACCTTCAGATTCTGGCAACTATACATGCATCCCTACTATTGCGGATCCCACCAGCGTTAACGTACATGTCATCAATGGTAAGTTATACGTGGTATATGCATATAGTAGGATTAAGGGAGAACGGAACAAGTTTGGCAGATAGTGCTCCGATAGAGAAAGCACATGACTGAGAGTGACTGTTCGTTTACGTCAATCACAGCGGTGTTCCAATATTTATTTGAAGTGCATTTATAGCATAAAAACTTAACTCGTCTTCCAAAAACTCTATTTTTTCTTTAAGTTATAATATTACCAATTTTGCTCAGTACCCAAGGGTAAATTCGGCAATTAAAACAATTTGACATATCACATATTTAACTACTATAAGATGTTTCTAAATTATTCTCAAAGTACTTGTCCTCATTTTTCGTTTAAAAACATTAGCCATTTTCTGATTCTTTCAAAATACCAGTAATTGTGGAGAATTTTAAATGAATAATAATTAGTTTTATCACATAAATACAAAATATGCTAATTATAATTTTGTCTGTACTTTTGTGTGGGTGCTAAAATTGGTCTTTGACACTAAGTGAAGAGCATAGAATAAAGGTAACTTGGAACAGGATGCTGAGAACAATGTATGGACCCAGGAGGAATGAAACGGTAGGAGGCTGGATACAGCTGCATGTTAAGAAACTGAATAACGAGTTCTCTTCGCCAGATATGATTAGAATAAGCAAGTCATGGAGGATTCGATAGGCAGAGGAAGTAGCGCGAATTGGAGATCAGACAATTACATACAGCTATTCGGTGGGAAAACACAAAAGAAAGAAAAACTTTGACGGCCCAGACGTAAATGGAAGGATGATTTTTAAATGGATCTTAAACAAATAGTATGGTGAGTATGGACGGGATTCAACTGTCTCGGGTTACAGAACAGTAGCGAGCTGATGTGAATAGTAACGAAACATCATTTGCTCTGGAATTCTGAGAATGTCTTGATTGGTTGAGCGACTGACGGCTTCTCAAGAAGGGTAGTTAGATTATAAGTTAGTCAGTACAGAGCTTAATATTTTACCAAAAAAGACACTCTAGTTCGGAAAGTGGTTTGGCATTTCTTCATATAGAGTCTAATAATGAAAAAGTGAGAGAATTCTTGGACGTGAAGTTAATTCTGCTATTGAGGAACAGAAAATATCAGTCGGAGGAAAGTTCGACTGTTTTGACGAACTTTCCCTAAATTAATAACAAACTAAAACACTCAGTACAGGCTAGAAGCCCGTAGAAAAAGCTCGTGGCAAGAAAGACTTTCGGTCCCACAGTTTAGCTGTACTGACCTTTATTTTCAAAACATTTACACTACGTGTCACAGTTATGTGTAGGAAATATCAGTTACATTAAAAAAGAATAATTCCATCTCAGCATGAGAAATAACTGATCACAGCGTGCTTACTCTCCCAGATGGTTGCAGACAAGTTCTCTCAACTGTTCAGTCTCCTCTCTTATCCTTTAGCCGTTTAAAACATAATAGCTCTACATACCAGCTCCTTTAATATTCAGGAACTTTGCGTTTAGTCCACAGATCGCACTTGTATTTCGTGCGATTCTCAGAAAAAACACCTGTAATTTCCCTAATCATTAATCGGTTGGTCTTTGACATGAACATACAGTGTTTTCTGTGATGTAAGAACTGAATCTCTAAACAATTGACTAATTTTAGGCTTCGGAGGTTTCAGTGTTAGTACTTAGTGTAACGACCGCGGTTTTATTCCCGACAGAATCAAGGCTTTTTCTCTCCGACAGAATGTGCATCTAATCCAATATATATGGAATGCTTTCCTCACTCTGGATGCGGGGCCGTAGGGTTAATATAACCACAAACTTTTATTAACTCCAAGCTCTAAAATGTATGGAGCTCTGTGTCACTTTATTTGTATCCCGTAATGTTGAGTTGCATGCACAAGTGGACAACCCTTTCAGATGACAAGCTTTCATAGTTTCAAGTAATGCTCTAATGTAAACACAATGTTCTTAAAAATGTTTTAACGTGAGAAGAGCTATAGTAACAAATTTCAATAATATACTTACCTTCATATGGGGGCACGCAGTCGCGTAGTTGGTTGAAGCACTATGCTACTAGCCGGAAGGTCGTGAGTTCAAGTCCCGATGAAGTCATTGGATTTTTTTTTCAATTGACCTAATCCTTCCGGCCGTACTATGGCCCTGGGGTCCACTCGGCCTCTAACAGAAATAAGTACCAGGAGTATTCTTGGAATATTCTTGGGGGCAAAGGCCGGCCGGCGCGTAGGGCTGATAATCTTGCCGCCATCTATGAGTCGATTGTCTAGAAAATGTGGGAACCTCAACATCTCACAACAGTATGGGTCTCCACGGTCTGTTACAGGGATAACTTTACTTACTTATTTTACTTACCTCCCGATACTTACTGCTCTGTTGTTTGTACATGAGCAAACGGAGTTTCAGTAGTTACAGGCTGGAAGATATGCTTAAACCTACATTGCAGTAACCTATACCGTACCTCAAAATATTAGAATCGTTTCGCTTAATGATATATGCCTCATATTTTTTCTGTCAAATTTAGTTTCCCAGGACAAATGTAGTTGTTAAAGACACGGCAATTTTGTACCGGTACAGAAAATAATTCCCAAATCATATTATGGTCCAAAATCAATAATGATATCAAAAATTCCCTCTGCTGGTATCTAAAACCGGCTTTATACTCCAAAATATGTAATTCCCCATAACCACTGCCGGTGCTTCGTAACTCCAGCTGTGGTCACCTCAAACACTGCAGTAACCATACTGATAAATGGAACAGTGTCCCTTCGAAATTCCAGCAGATCTCATGCTGGATCTTTAATAGTTTCGGAGATGAAGCCTAGGGAAAAAGGACAGGATGTCTCTGGTGTAAGATAATCTTTTATAATTTTTACAAAAAGCAAAAATCTTGGTCACAGTTTATTTGTTGTGGCATTCCATTGTTCGAAATATTTGCCGAAAAATTTTCCTAAACACGCGTGTTCATACCGACATTATAATACCACGCTAATTTTTACTACATGGCGCATTACGTTAAGATGTGGTATTTATATTTACATTCAAGAAAGAGACCTCCTCCATGGTCAAGTGGTAAGAGTTCCTGACTACAGATCTATAGGTCCCATGATCGATTCCCGGCACTACCAGATTCTCTGGGAAGTAGTGAGTTTCGAACGGGGTCCACTCATACTCGTGAGGATAACTGAGGAGTTATTTTAAGGAAATAATTGCTCCGATCTGGAAAACCGAGATTAGGGCCGTGGGGATCCGTTGCGCTGACCACATGACACCCTCTATCCACAAAAGTTGACATTAACTTCGCCGACAAGGGGCAGTAGGTTGGTCCGGACTGCAGGCCATGGAGTTCAAGAAAGAGAAATACCCCTTCTTCGCCGTGCTTAACATTGCTTTCCCTTGTCAATACGTGGTAACTAAAACGGTGAAATAGGAAAAACACTAAAATAAAAAAGATAAAATTATTCTCATAATGAAAATGTAAGAATCTTAATGAGGATTCGAAATGCATCCAGAAACTCCATCAAAATATTTGCAGATCGCTCTAGCAGCCGTGGTTATATTACCTATAGGAAAAGGTGCGGAGCAAATTGCATAATAGCTTAAGGTGCTCTCTATTACATCTGAAGTAGGAAGTGGATATAAACAGACAGAACATTTACCTTTTTAGCCTCTACCACCCTTAAAGGAGGTAGTAATGTCTCTCAGACTACTAAGCTGTTATGTGTATGTATCCCTTTAAACTTGTAAATCATGAGGCCAGTTTTCCCGGAATTGTGTACGGACGTTGTGCCGTTAGAGGTCACCCAGTTTCGTACTTTCTCATCGCCTGCAGTTGCTAATTACATAACGGGACATAAACGTTTGAGGTGGGAGAGAGAGTTAATCTTGAGTAAAACTCTGAAATTATTCCCATGACTTCGAAACAACCACGCTACATTTTAAGACCGAGCCTCATAAAAAACACAAAATGAGGGGAACACCAAACGCCAGTTTCGGAGAAATTATGTGATAAAATTCCAAGACCCATGGTTTTACAATTTCTAGGAATTGGTTTCTCTTCCAATCTCCCCCTGATGACCTCGATGTTTACGGTTTATAAACTCTGACTAAAACTACTGCTGTCGTAGAGGGAAAGAGTAAAAGTAAAAAAGTAAAGCTATCCCTTTACCAGGCCGTGAAGACCCATAGGGTTGTGAGACGTTGAGGGTCCCACATTATCTAGACAATCGGCTCAAAAAATGGCGGTAAGGTTGTCAGCCTTACGCGCCGGCCGCGCTTTACTCCACAGGAAAATTATTTAATTAATTCCTGGTACTCATTTCTGTGAGAGGCTGAGTAAACCCCAGGAGAGAGACTAGATCTATCAAGGAGCTTCAGTACTGTACTTTAGCATCCTGTTGCAAATCTTTAATTAAACGTCTGTGTATCCATAGTCCGACCCCCTCTGTAGTCTAGTGGTCAGACTTCCTGGCTACAGATCCAGAGGTCACAGGTTCGATTCCCGGCGCTACCAGATTTTCTGAGAAGTAATTGACCTTGAACGGGGTTCACTTATTCTCGTGAGGATAATTGAGGAGCTATTTGAATGGAAACATAGCGGCTTCGGTCTAGAAAACCGAGATTATCAGCAGTGGGGATCCGTTGCGCTGACCACGTGAGACCTTCTATCCGCAAAAGTCAGCACTAATTTCGCCAACAAGCGGCGGTCTTTAGGGTCGGTATAGTTCGCTTGCGAACTAAAGGCACAGTGTTTGTTTTTATTTATTTTTTTGTAACCAGAGTCCGTCAAAAATGCAACGATTGCTTATTCACCATTCAACACTTAACACATGTCTCGGCCTTAGATGGCCATCTTCAGGTGTCTAATGCTTCAGTAGAATGGATTCATACTTTTATCTCATAGCATAAACCTGCCCATCTTCCGAAATGCTGTGCTTAGAATCAGGAAGGAGACGTTGAAGAATGTCCAGCATATGCCTATAAAACATCACACAATTTTAGTCTTAAAATAATGTTATTT